TAAAACGTGGTGGAAACCCCAGGCGTGAGCGAGTGCGAGGGACAGGAGGGGCCCGGGGGGCGGCACCGGCTCCTCCGTGTYCGGGTCCCACAGCACCGACCCCAGCCGGACCCCGCGGGGAGCAGCGGGGCCGGGAGCGGGGGCTGAATCCCGCGCGGGGGGAGGGGAACGAGCGGCACCAGAGCCCCCTCCCCCCGGTGTCCCCCGACCCCGGCTCCCCACGGCCCCGGGCAGCCCCGACCCCCGCTCCCCAGGGCGCCCCGCGGGCCCGAGCAGCGTCACCAGCGCCGCGTGGAGACCCGCGAGACAGGGGGGCTGCGGGGCAGGGGCCCCGGCCGGAGCGGGGGGCTGCCGGGCTGCTGGGGGAGGGGAGGGGGTGCAGGAAGCAGCTGGAGGAAGAGGGGCCGGGTCCCTTGTGGGGGGAGGGGCTGGTGCGCGGGGAGGGGGTGGGGGGGCAGGGTCTGGATCTCCCCGGCATCAGGGGAYGCCGCAGGACAGAGTGGCCGGGAGGAGTGTGGGGACCGTCCGGGGGCACCCGGGACCGACCCACAGCGAGGGTGGCCGGGACCCACTCGGCAGCGACACTGGGGCCACGGGTGGCCCTGGCGCTCGGGCCCGGCAGGAGGGAACAGGGCGGCCTCGGAACCCGCGGGAGGCCCCTCGGACGGTGCCGGGCTCAGGGGAGCTGCCCAGGCCCCCGGAGTGGCCGAGGGGACCCTGGGGACAGCCAGTCCGACCCCCTGCCCAGAGTGGGGCCGTCTCAGCCTGGCTTGAGCAGCCCGAGGATGGGACCGCTCCTCTCCGGACAACCTGTTCCAGGGGTCAGGAGCCCTCCGGGAGAGGAGCCTTTCCCTGCGTCCCAGTAGTGTTCCCAACATCTCRGCTTGTGCCCGGGGCTGCTCCTTCCACGAGGAGCAGGATCCTGTTCCACCCTGTCCCGGTCCCCATTCCTCCCCTGAGCGGGTCCCTCTGCGCCACCCCCCCTCCAGGACAACCAGGACGTGGCTGGGAGCAGCGCTGCCATCCTGGGGTCCCCAAGGGGCAGCAGGAACCTCAGGGGACAGACACCAAGTGCCACCCCTGCTGGCACCCGCTAGCCCCTGCCCTGGGCCCTGCTCCCGCCCACAGGAGCAGCCTGGGTGGGGGGCATGGGGGGGTGCCCCACTCTGCACCCGATGTCACCACATGGCAAGGAAGACCTCCCCAGGGCAGCCGGAGCAGGATGTGCCGGGGGTGTCGGGAGGGGGAGCTGGGTGACATCCCATCCCATCGCTCCCCGTCCCAAGCAGAGCTCAGCCGCGTCCCGCGGACCTGCTGCCGTCTTGGCCGTGCCCCATTACAAGGAACGTGTCAACCCTGTCCCATGCCACATGTGCTGGCCATGTCCCATAGAGGAGGACGTGTCAGGCCATGTCCACGCAAGGGGGTGGCCGTGTCCCATAGAGGAGGACGTGTCAGGCCGTGTCCACGCAAGGGGGTGGCCGTGTCCCATAGAGGAGGACGTGTCAGGCCGTGTCCACGCAAGGGGGTGGCCGTGTCCCGTAGAGGAGGACACGCCAGGCCATGCCCACACAAGCAGGTGGCCGTGTCCATGTCCGGGAGGTGCTGGCCATGACCCCCAGCAATGGAAGAGCCACCATGTCCCCTGGAGGGGCTGGGACAGGGACAACACTGCCCCCAGGCCCGCGGCTGCTGCCCGGGCAGACCCAGATTCTCCAGGTGCTTCCAGCACCCTGGCTCTGGATCTGCCCCTACGCGGAGTCCAGCTCCGGTTCCGGCACCGCAGGTGCCCTGGACAGCCCCCCGTCCCATTGGGGCTCGGGACAAGGAGGGAGCCGAGCCCCGCGTCCCCCCGCACCCCGTGGCGTCAGCGTGACGCGTGGGGCCGGGCGGGCAGCTGACGCAGCCGGCGCTGGCGCTGGCGCTGCCGTGGGTGGCAGCCGCCGCCGGTGCCCCCATCAGCGGCTGTTTGCGCAGCGCGGCCGGAGCGGCTGCCGCAGGGAGCAGCCGACGTGGTTCCTCGCGCAGGGTTTAATGGGGGCAGCGCGGCCGCGGCGAACGGGCCGCGAGGGCATCGACGCTGCCGGCGCCGTCCGGACACACAGCACAGGCACCGTTCGGACACACAGGAACCATCCRGACACGCAGGCGCCATCCGGACGTGCAGGCGCCGCTCAGTGCTGGCCTGGGTGCGAGAGCGGCCTCAGCCCCAGCGCCCAGTCCCGCCACCCTGGGCCCAGGGGCAGCACCGGGGGGTTCTGTTGGGTCCCGCAGCCACAAGGAGTATGGGGAGGTGCTGGGCTGCCAGGCTGTGGGTCGCCCCATGGGGCCCCAGCTCTGCCCACAAGGCTCCCCATTACAGTGGGTCCCTGCAGCGCTGCCCCCCCCACTCCAGCCGTGTGGCTCCCATAGCCCCATAGCAGTGGGTCACCCCGCAGTGCCCCGGCTCTGGCTGCACGGCTCCTGTGTCCCCCCATTGCAGGGGGTCCCGCTGTGCTGCCCCCCACTCCGTCCGCGCGGCTCCCATAGCCCCGCAGCGGTGGGTCCCGCCGTGCTGCCCTCCCCCCGCTCCGGCCGCACCTTCGGGCGCCTCGGGCCCCTCGGGCGCCTCGGGCCGCTCCTCGTCCCCCGCGGCCTCGCTGGCCTCCGCGGCGCCCTCAGCCTCCTCCTCGGCCGGCGGCTCTGCAGGACGTGGCACCACGGCGCCCGTCGGGACGGCCCCGCACGCTCCCTGCTCCTGCCCGTGTCCCCTGTCCCGGTGTC